AAAGATGTCTTGTTAACGAGCTTCCGTTAAAAGCCCTAAACCCCACCGCTAGGACCTTTGGGTTGGTAGGACCAGGAGGACCTCCTTATACCTTAACGGATTAGCAGTCAATTTATCAAAGATTAGCATTTTCCAAGTAGTGGCTAGCCTCGCGTTTTTAGTGAGAAATATGTACCGTGTATTCCAATATTCTACCTAACCCTAATAAGAAACTCGCAAATTTATTTCCTTGCAATAACTACAATAAACATAAAGGGATAAGATATTACATTCACAGGACGTTATTGATAAGTGGAGTCGTATCTCTGCAGACCTCTGACTTGTGTTCCAACTATTACGGTTTTTTCGTAAGCATACAGAAACGTCTTAAAGGTAACCTACAAAATCATAGATAATTAAATCTAAATACAGTATAGAGACATAACGTGCGGCATCGGGTATTCTCTACTCAGCCATTCGAACGGCGATGGTATGCCCATTATTCTATTGTACGACTAGAACAATGAAATAATCTGTTGATCATCAGATGGGCATCGGAACTACTCTACTGGCGCCCTTGACATCAGAGAAATCACTAACGGACAACAATGAAGTTGTCGATAAAATCTCTTGCAGGGTCCAATTTTCCGTTTACTTCATCGTTTATATCTTGAACATAAAACAGTAATCACATTCGGGCAAAACTAGCACTTCATACATTAGTCGAAGTGTTATTAGGACTTCGTTTCGATAATAAACTAGTTTATAGCAAGAGTCTGAAATAATATATAGAAACATTTTACATGTACAAGGCAACAAATCTTCGTTGCTATTTAAGCTGTTCTATTGAAAGCTTGAATAGCCCCGTTATCGTTGTAGAAGTTGCCGTTGGCTTTTGTGAGGGAGTACTCATGAACGTTTGTCTCTATGAAGATGCTCTCCTCAGTTGAATTGGATATTGTTACTTCAAAAATCGAGTCTACGCAGTCGATTGACATACAGCAGATTCTGGTTCCAATAACGTGACCGGCCTCGACGACCATTTTTTTTTATATCACACTTATTCTGATCCAGCGATTGAACAGGTTGCACATTCGTTAGTTTGTGTTCAAACTGAAGAAACTGCGAACCAATAGCTTTTTGGCAAGCTACGATCGTCGGGTTCCTAGTGAGCTGATTTTAGAAGATCGGTGTCGACAGACTATGCTGCTGTAACTTTTGCGATAACAGCGTATCTACGAAGGCCGTCTCACAGGGCGGATGCGCACTCAAGGCCTTTCGTTAGAAAAAAAAACGTTCGTAAAAATTATCCATGCGAACTTGAAATTTTGTATTATGCAGACCGCGATATGGTTTGGTTTAATTGGACATACGTGCATTTTGCTTAAGTAGGTCGTCGTTCGCGTAAGCTCAAGTAAGGGCTAAATTATTCGTACACTCGAATGACAAGCCGTGCGTGTTTTCACACTTAAAAAAAGGTTCTACAAAAAATGGCGATTAATAGAAGATACAAGAGCAGCTAGTGATTATCTTCAATCTGAGAGAGTTGTTAATTACATCTGTGACAACAGAGGAAAAATGTACACCAAAAGTGAATAGTACATCTAAGACCAGCGAGGTATTTACCGTTAGACGTACTATTCTGATACTTTAACGAAAAATATAGAACAGATGACGAAACGTATTTGTACAATATTAACGTCCATCCTATTGTTTTAGCTGTCACAAACGTTGGTGAGCCCCATTGTATAGACAACTTTTTCGCCGGCCCTTTAGGCCATAACGAAAAAGCACCCAAAAAAAAGGTAACATCTTATAATATGAAACTAAACAAGGACAATTTTATTTCATTTATTAAGAACTTTTTTTTTGAGGTTATCAAAGACAGCTCTGCTCTTATGAATGATAAACGAGGATCAAATGCGACTTCTGTGTTCGTCCATTGACTTTTTTACTGTCAACTTAACGTTACGATATATTGAACGCGGTAAAGATAGGGATTTTTTTTAATCAGATATCAATAAAGGGTACAATTCATTATCCTACAATTGACGTTCTAGTGGATGTTCATGCTCGAGGCTTCGCCTCATTACAAAATAGGTCTCGTCCTTAGCATAGGATGGAATTATTGGCATGACACACTCCTGATGAGCCGGCCTATTTTTAGAGAGAAGCGAGCTCGTTATCAAAATTGGTCAGAAACTAGTAATATATAATAACGATGACAATATAGCCGAATAATGCTTTGCGGAAAACATCGATTTTCTCTGAACAGACTTTTGTAAATCAAACAATGGCTTCAAGACATTGAGCTTATTTCTATACGTTTTAACAAATCAGCAATGTAGGACTGTTTCCTATAGGAAGACGATCAGTAATTTTCGTTCTATCCTTGTTCTATTTATATAGGCCGGTAAGTTGGCAAAAATGATTCAATGGTAGCTCTGTTGTGCACCAGTTTAGCGTTAAAGTTCCTGAAGTTATGATCGATACCGATTCGTCTATTTTCTTAAGGGCATCTCGTCTAACTAAAATCCCATCTGATCATTCTGGAGCATTGAAAAAATCCTATACTTTATGTAATCTATCGATGACGATGAAATAGGCACAGCTATACATTTTTGGAGGTCTATTAACAACAGATGTTCTAGTTACTCAAATAGGATGTGAGGTTTTATGTTTTAGATTAAAGGCGCAGGGTAATGATTGCAGGCAGTATTTTAATACGGACCCCCTCTTAATAGGCTCAACGCTGATTATCGCGGGGCAGCGAGAGCTGTGTAGGTATTAGAAACTAGAAAAGCAATTAGGAAGGTTCTCCCTAGGGTCGCTTTAGGAGACGCTAAAATTTCTTGTAAAAACATTTTACTTCCTAATGGAATAATGCATTTCGTTCAGCTCATAGGAAGTTTACGCTTTTCAAAGTGTGCTCATACAGGTGAGTTGCATAAAAAAGTTTATTTATATATATTATAATGTCATTAGACCTATTATGGGAAATACGGTAGTTGAAGCATATAATTAGATCGTTTACGTATAGGCATTTAAACATATTAACATAGATGTTTATATAAGCGCCATTGTTTAGCCTGTCCTATAGACATTTATCATGTCGATAAATAAAAAAAGAGGTAAATCTCAGTTTGGAAAGTATACTGAAGACCTTCAGGTGGTCAACGTGGCCAAGCAAAGCACCATGGCGAGTCGTTACTGGGTTATTTTAAGGATATATCTCTTCATAGCCAAGTGTCTAACAGAATCAATTTGTCGGCCAGGTTATATAGTATTGAAACATGTTTACTTCAGTTTGACCGCGCCCATATTTTGTTTATATGATATCCAGTAGTCGCAAGGGATTACAGTGTAGGAATCACGCATCTTAATTTGTCTTGCCTGTTAAATAGGATGCGACAATAAAAAAGAATCGAACGGTATTGTTTTTGATGTGTAGACTTCAAAGTGGCAACTATAACAACTTACGTGAGCTATAAAAATCAAGTATCTTAAGACAAAGGATAACCTGCTTATGTGCTCTTATTGTAGAATCAGCCTAAATTTGACTACTAATTTAGACCAGTCAATAAAACAGCCATAATAAATATTCGAGACATTGTTTCCAACTTCATTTCTGCTCGGAGACACTTCCTAATCGTCTTAGAGACATCGCCCAGTATGCTAAAATCAGCCCATTTGGAATACTTTCAGCGAACCTTTTGTCGAGTATATACAAACCAAAAACAATTAGATATCAAATTTACCACAAATTTAATTAAAGCACAACCCAGTTGAGTATTTGTACATCAGCTTCTATAGTGTATCATACTTAAAACTCTATATACTGTATATAAAATATTAAAAAAAAAAGTCTGTACTGTAGACTGTTTTGTGAGCTAGGCGCACGTTTTCAGTGAGTTTTTTTGCATATTTTTGACGTTTATCTAATCCTTCTACTATTTCGAATATTTATCACTCCCTAATGACTCTTTCTGTTCGTGTTCTCCTTAGTTTACTCTATCGATGATTCTACAGATGAGCACCAGCAACTTAGAAACTATGTGTGTACCCTTTCTGCAAAATGTGAAGCCATACAATCAATAAGCAATACTAGCTTGATAAAAGGCAGATGACAAATAAATCTAGATAATCAAGAGCAATGGTGGTAAGTGTACAATGATCAGGATCACGTATGTTCTGTTTTCATGCATAACAAGTGGGCAATCAGAAAATCTCGCCCGCGTGTTTATTTCCCTTATTCTTCATTCCTTATACGACCAAGGATGGCTCTTGTACCCGTTTGAACGGGTCCGTATAAATACGACATCGAACATTTGCTTGTCGCGGAATTTACGAGCATTATATAAAGTTGCGACACTCTTGTCACTAGCAACACTTAGGTGCTTCACCTTTGATTCTACCGGTAAGCACTACTACTTCAGGCGGCTGACCTCCATTACGTAACGAAGCCTACGCCGAATTTGAACATGGACCATGGCATGTTTTTAATTTTAGTGGGCAAAGACGTCGCCACTGCACCATCTTTGAGATCATCTGCAATTCTTGCCATTCTTAGCCCAGATAGACCTTTGGGTCGGCAGTTGTGCAAGACCGGTCAGGTGGGATTACAGTTACAGATGAACTTCAGCTTGAAAACTTTTAAAAATAGCAACTTATCGAGGAGCACCCAACCCCTGTTTGTGTTAACCTTCGGGCTATCTTCGCTATGCTCGGTAACCTCATAAGTGAAACATGTTTACTTCAGTTTGCCCGCGCCCATATTTTGTTTATATGATATCCAGTAGTATCTACTCTCGCAAGGGATTACAGTGTAGGAATCACGCATCTTAACGGGCTAATTAAATCGTTTATTTATTGAATTAATCCGACATTGATATGAACGACATCTTTTTAGAAAAGACAAGTCGATCACACAAAATAAACTGATTGAATGTGACAAGTACAGCTAATAAATTTTCCTGTGCGGCTGTGGGTAGCCTTTGAAAATAAAAAAAGGACAAACAGTATTGTTAGTATGATACGTTTATTTGCGCTAGAAAGTTTAATGCCAACGGCAAATAAATTCAGTTCGAATTAAACAGAGACCTGACTTCACTCTGCTTGACTGGATATAAGATTGGTCTCTATTGCGGATTGGCAGGTACTGTTGAAACTTTAAGGCGCCAAGTCCGATCTGTCCAATCGTGTATGTTTCCTGATAAGTATATTTTTTGCATTGTTTAATATGTCGGTACAATATTTAAAGCGCATAATATTTTTAATCACTCTTTTTTTCTGTATTAAACACTGTCTTCATTGAAGTATTACTTCATATTCATACTACACTGGACCAGACATGGCCAACTCTTTTCTTAGATGATACCATTTCAGTTCTATCTTTCCTTCTCCCTACCAGTCTAGATAATGGCGTTTATGATATCTGCGCAGGCGGCGGCACCTTTGCCAAGAATGAAGTTCTCGTGTAATCCCTCAACAACATACATTGCTACCTTGCCCGACACACAGCTTGACAAGCCATAGTCCTCAGGCAATGTCATGGCCATCTTACGTAGTTTCGAAGCCTTAATAAGAGTCACGTCACCGTTGAACTTCTGCGAAGGTTGGTAACGATTGCCGCACAGCAGAAAGTCGTAGAAGGCTCGTGAAGCCATGGCAACCTGCTCGACCGAGGGTTTATCTCGGTTGTTAAGCTCTTTGCTCTGCAGAAGAACATCTGTTGCAACGGTGAGCTTTGCCTCCCAGCCAGAGATCTTTGTCATCTCTAATTTCAGCTGCGAGAAATAGAAGAAACAAAGTGGAAAAATTGAACGCTTCGGTAAACTGAGGATTACTTCGAAATCCGGCCATTGTAAAAAGTCGAACAGTGAGCACCATTTCACGTTGGGCTGTAGGAGAAACATATCTAGCCAACCCTTTTTATTTGTTAGTTGGTGCAAACGTATTTACTTGGTTATCAAGAGTATGAGTGCAGTATGTGTGTTTTCACTGTGACTGAAATTAAGGTTGTGTCTAAAGTGTAAGTTCGCACTGTAAAGAAGGTACGCACCTTAAGGAAATCGATGTCGATATACTGCATGAGGAAGGCGCAAAGAGCACTGGCCTCTTCTTCGTTGATATCGCCGCTCTTGTCAAATTTATTTTTATGAATGGTTGTGTGCACGGCAACGTACTTGGGCGCGCCGTCCAGGAGAGTGAGCGTTTTGACCTGGTGACCTTGTTTTTGTAGCAGACACGCGATCTCGTACGCCACCATAGCGCCAAAAGAGTAGCCGACGATGTGGAATGGTCGACCCTCAGGCTGCTGAGCAATCATTTTCTGTATGCAAGAGATCAGAGAAACAAGCATATTTCTTTATAATTCCTTCAATTCCTTTACAATTCCTTATATAACCTTAAAAATAACTAATATATTCAATGGGCTCATACCGGCATATAAGAGAGGGCAAGGTGCTCAATTGAGCTGATTGTTATGTCTTTCGTGCGCTGGATACCGAAGACGGGTCGGCGTAGTTTATCGGCTATTTGCACCAGATTGTTAACGTCACCTTCAATTGAGTGCAATAAGAAAACTGGATCCTCGTTTGTTTTAATCGAATTCATGTTTACTAACGGTTCTTCGGCAATTAGCTGTTTCTTGAGAGGTACCTTGGGTACCTCGGCAATTGCCGCCGTCTGTTGAATCGCTTGTTTATCTTCTGTGCTCGCTGCCGGCACAACGGCAACTTCTGACGTAGTTCCCCCTGACTGTAGTTTTTCCACTTTATTCAGGTTGAGGCTGCGGATCTCTTGCATTGACAAGCTAAGATCAAGCTCCCTTTCGAGCAATTGCTGCAAATCGAAAAATATTGTGAACTACGGAACTAGTAGACGCGATGTCGGGTGTTGTATTGAATCCTATGTATAGAAACTACAATAATGATGATAATTCAATGACTTCGAGACATCGTTGACTCACCTTGACCTCAACTCCCATGAGTGAGTCCATGCCTAACTCCCCAAGAGTGGTGTTGGGATTAAGCTTTGTGACGTCCTTCACTCCGAGGATATGGGCTACCGCGCTGGTAAGGTCAGCAGATTTTGTAGCAAGGCCTTTTTTCAAATCGGCCTTTACAATTGACGATACTACGGGGTGTTTCTGACTCATAAATTGGTCGAGGACGCTGAAACATGACTGAATGCGTTGAGGAAGTGTGCCGCCTATAACTGCGTCGTTACCACCCATTGTCTGGTGGACGACTCCAACATCGGCGATCGCACCCCACTGTATAGCTAGTCCCGGAAGGCCATCTGCTACGCGCCTTTCACAGATACGTTCCATAACCGAGTTAGCATAACCGTAGTTCGTTTGACCAGCGTTGCCTCGTCCGCATGATACAGATGAGAAGACCACAAAATGATCTAGCTCTGGGCAATCTTTTCGTGAAAGTCCATCAAGATTTTTGGTTCCTTCAACCTTCGGGGCGCAGACAGCTTCATAGTTTTCGACAGTCTGATTCTCAATGAGAGCATCTCGGAGCACCATTGCTAAGTTGAAGATGCCTCCAATGGGCAGACCAGAAATTCGCTTTGCTTCAGTCAGTAGTTTCTTGGCACCTTCAGCGGTTGAAGCGTCGTGAGTAAGAACATGTACATTTGCTCCGGCCTTTTTTCCGCGATGAATTGCGTATTTTTGGTAGCCGGTCTTAATACCTGATCGGGATGTGAGAATTAGTGATTTTACTCCACGGCTGATCAACCAGTCAGCCAGTTCTAGGCCGAAGCCGCCGAGACCACCAGTAATGATGAAAACCTTTTTACTAGAGAAACCTGTACGCGTTACAGCCTTAACCTTGATGGGTGACGGTATGACCTTTTTCTGGGATTCCTCGTCGCGAATCTTTACAACGACCTTTCCCATATGCTTTCCAGAAGCCATAAACCGGAAGGCCTCTTCTGTTTCATCATTATTGAAGACATGGGCATCAAGAGGGCGCACGACACCTGATTTTATCCCCTCTGCTACAAGCCGAACCACCTCGAGCTTGTCGTGAGCCACGTAGGGGTCGTTGCCGAAGAGAGAATCCAGCAGGATGCCATGAAACGTTATGTTTTTGAGGAACACCGCCATTCCTAGCCCTGAGTTATTACTAAGATCAAACTTGCCAATTTCAAGGAACCGACCGTGATTAGCTAGACAGCGAACCGAAGCTTGAAGTTTTTCGTCTGCCAGTGAATTGAGTACAACATCTACTCCACGTCCGTCAGTCTCGTTTAAGACATGTTGTTCAAACGAGAGGTCGCGAGAGTTGGCGAAATGATTATCCTTCAACGCAGCGAATCGCTTCTTTAGAAAGATTCGTTTTTCTTGAGAACCCACAGTAGTATATACCGTACAGCCTAAATTGAGAGCAATGCTAATGGCAGCTTGTCCGACTCCACCTGATCCTGAATGGATCAAGACGACTTCACCTTTACGAAGACGGCCACGAATAATAAGAGCGTAGTAGGCAGTTGAATAGGCTACAGGGACGGTTGAAGCCTGTTCGAGTGTCCATGAATCAGGCACTTCCCACAAGAACACGGGATCTACGATAACCGAAGTTGCCAAGCCTTCTGCTGGAATTTGCCCCATTACTCGGCGTCCTTGCGGATCGCGGCCAGAGAATTCAAGACCGAGCACGCAATCGGAGACAGCCAGCTCTCCAGGCAGTGCGTCAGGAGGGAGCTTCCCAGTAGCCAGCATTATATCGCGGAAGTTAACGGGAGCGTAATACACGCTGCAGAGAATCTGGCCGGCTCTAGGAGGGTTATGCGTGATGGGAGATTGGTACCATTGAAGTGAGCTGAGGTCACCACGTATTTTAACGTTAAGAAATGCGTGTTCCGTCGAAACATAGTTTAACGACTTCTTCAAAGCAGCTAAAGTGAAGTGACGCATCGTTCCCCACTCACCTTCCTTAAAGACGTTCATTACAAGATCTTTAGCGATGATGTCCTTGTAAACTGGGTGCTCAAAGGAAAAATCGGGAACCTTGTATTTAGTTGCAGGTGACACGTTGAAGATAGCTCTAACATGTGATCCCCCTGCCTCTCGACGAAGACAATTAACCAGACCGACGATTCCGCTATCACCGGGATCTTCAGCGACTAGCCAAATGTTCTCACCCTCGGGTTTTCTGTCATACTCAGTAAGCTTGTCTTTCAATAGTCCTACCCAGTTGTAATCCCCGTTTTTGACCTTAATTATTTTCTGTTTTGTACTTTCGGTCTTGTTAGTTTTGCGGGCCAAAAAACTCAACGAAAATCCGTTGCTACGGGATGCAATCAGATCGAAACCGACAGATTCTAAAGCGTTCTTTATGGCAGCCGGTGTTTGGAAATGAACGTCAAAACTGCCAAGAGTCGAAAGGAATTTTTCCACCGGAGTTAATGTATGGCGCTGGTTCACTAAAATGAAGCCATTGGATTTTAGAAGTCCAGCCACTCTCTGAAGTAGCTTTGTAAGCTGGACTCCAGCGACATCTATGTTTTTCAGTATAGTGAGATCAGTTCCTAAAGGCAATTGGCTAGGCTCTGACTTTAGGTCCCACGTCACGGTTTTGACGTCGGCAGGTAGCAAGCTTTCAGTAAGAATATCCGGTAGAGGATGAACTACTGTGTAATCAAGCGTTAGATCAAGATGAGACAAGTGGATGTTTTCGATCACTTTTTTGCCCATAACATTCACGTCCGAGCCAACTTCGACAATCCTTACCTTCTTGCTTGGAGTATTTTCAACGACAATGTCCAATAAAGGCCTGATATACTTTTCATTCCAAAGCGCGGTGTTGAGGATATCCAGCTCAAGTTCGCTTTTATGAGCATCAAGAGTTTCTTTTAAAGCTTCAATAACTGACCGTCCATTCTTCACTTGTTCGAGTACATTGGTGAGCACTCTCATGATTACCATGTCGCTTTCACCAGAAGTCACGTATTTGTGAAGTACAGTGTCGGTCATTTCGGAGCAACCATTCATGATAGCGGCTTTTTTCTGGTTACTTTTTTCGAGCAATTGTCCCATCAGGGTAGCAGTAGCTTTCACGTACTCCTCAAGCTTATGATCTTTAATTTCCTGGACGTTCGCTGAGAAGTGATATTCCTCTAAAAATGGAGAGGCTTGGGCATTTTTACGGGGAGCAACATTAGCTTTGAGGCCTTTCATTACAGCACCCGCGCACATACAGGTGTTCGTGCGCTTGTCGTAGTATACTGTCAATCCGCCCTTAACATTGCCCACAAAGCTTGCGTGAATTCTAGGATCGACTCGGCACTGGGTAATCCTTACCGGTAGATTCAGAGCTCTGTATTTGCTGCCCAAGACAGTAAACTGAAGCATGGTATCCAGGAAAGTTACCCAGTTACCCTCCCATTTGAGTTTTCCGTAAGGCTCTTGGATATCAGCTTTCAAAATACCACGGAACATACCGTGGTACTCATAGCCACGTAGACTGAGCTCTTTGTAGATGTCGGAAGCGCAAAGTTCAAACGTAGCATTCTTAGGGACCTCAGGAATGTTCGAGTTAAGGAAATGTTTATCTTCAGGCATGTAGACCCGTCCGGATGCTGCCACGGTTCCCCCTTCAGTGATTTCCCATTGCCCGCTGGTGCCCATCATATTTAGATAAAGTTTGACGACACCGGAGGTCGAAATAATTGTCGCCCGATGGAAGTTAACGTTTTCGAATACTATAGGCATATCAAGCCACTGCTTGCCCATTCGTTTAGCAAGAGCCTTCCATGCGAGGACCATATATCCCGTTGCAGGATAGAGTACGCGACCATCTATCTTGTGGCCCTCAATGTACTTTTCCGAGTCTTCTTCGCTAGAGATATTAACACTGGTGACATCTTCTACCGATTTTCCGAACGACTCAAATTCGTTCCATTTGCATACGCGCCATTCCAGCGAGTGGTCCCAAGCGACGAACCCGGCAAGGTGCGGGGTTCCTCTGGGAACCGGATACTTCACTTCGGGATACAGAGCAGATACATCAACATCCACATTGAGCGTGTATAGCTTGCCCAACGCACTGAGGAAGGTAGTAAAGTTATCACCATTACGTTTCATCAGTCCGATAACGTCAGACGTAGGTTTTAGAGCGCGCTTGAGTATGGACTGCAGTAAGGCATGGGGGGCGATTTCAATACAAATTGCGTTCTCTGGCACGTTCTCAAGGGCCTCTTTGAATAGTACCGGTGAAACCAAATTATGGACATGATAGGCTGCTGAACAGGTCTTAGCTAGAGGCTCATTCCATTGATCTTTAGGCATCGACGATGAAATCCAGCGTGCTGACCTCGGTTTTGCAACTGGAACAACATTGTCAAGGGCTGCCTGTAGCGAGAGGGCAATCTGTTCCATGTGAATTGAGTGGAAGGCAACATTGTAACAGTTTACTTGTCTAACGAAGATGTTCTCATTCTGGAGTTCGTTACACATTGAGATCACTGCGTCAGCTGGCCCGCTAATGGTAACTGAATCTTCACTGTTGTGGCACGCAGGAACTACACCATCGCGGCATCTTTTAAGAGTCTGTTCCCATGTCAGACCAACAGCAGCCATCGCACCTTTGGGTAATTCTGCTGCCTCAACGCATTTTCCACGCCAATAGGCAGCCAGCACTGTTTGCTCTGCTGTGAAGCAACCATCTGCATATGAACAGCCCAACTCGCCCACCTGTTGAGCATGATCAACAATAATTATTAGAAAAATGCATCGCAACTTAGACGTTACTCTTTACTACAGTCGCAAAACATGAATTTGATATACTATTAAGTATTTACTGTGTGTCAATCCAACAGAACTTACCGAGTGGCCAACGATGCCATCTGGACGGATACCACAGGCAAATAAGCAATCGGTTAATGCGACCTGCACAGCTGCGATCGACACAAATGGTACAACCATTGACGGATTTTCGATTTTATCGCCGATTAACACTTGCAACAGGTCGATACCAAATGGCTTCAGTAGCTCGTGCGACTTATAAATAGACTTGGCAAAGACGTCGAACTCCATCATTTGGCGGCCCATCGCCGTCCACTGGGAGCCCATACCAGCATAGACAAAAAACACTGGCCTTTTCGTAACTTCGGCCAGGGTCTGGAATGTGACCACTTCACCAGAAGTTGGCACGATTGTAAAGCCTCTTCGAGTCATCATATGTGTAGGAGTAGTTGCTACCTTATTGAGTAGATGGTAGGCCGCATCAGGTAGCGTTCGGCTCGATAAACGCCCTAGGACACGGTTGACGCTTTCCTCACTGCGTCCACAAATGAGAACAAGGCGCGGCACATGGGCCTTATCGCGTATTGCAACGCCAACGTGCTCACTCTTGTTCGAGTCAAGAATCACATGGACGTTTGCACCTCCGAATCCAAATGAGTTCAGCCCTACATAGCCGCCCAGGAACGGTGTGGCACTAGTAACGACTTTGATACTGCCATCCAATAGGGCAGGGATATTTGGATTGGGCGTGTCATAGTGCAGGTTGCCGGGAATAACTCCTTTCTCCATCAACGTTATAACTTTTGCCAAGGAACAAATTCCCGAACCGCCTGGAATCGTATTGAGCAGTGAGTACAGCCATTAAAGAGTGGATATAGAAAAGTGTTAGGTCACGTCGCTTTGTAGGATTTTTTGAAAAACTGTAGCATTAACAAAAAGATTACGGAGTCGCTTTTATCATTCAAATGATGAAATAACATGTCATCAGGCTGAGAACGGAGTTTTCGTCACAGTTTCTTAAGTTTCTATGTCGGCTATTCTCGAGATATCCTCACTAACTTTTGTTCCTTATGAAAAACACCTCTAACATAAAGGATTTTTTTTGGAGTTGATACTTTTGACTAACTTGGAAGTCTTCATATATCTAACTGATATTTGAACACCCTAAATGGTACTTGCTTAGGCTCAGTATTTGATGCTTTTCCTATGCTTAAACAAGCGTTATACTACGCACACCGACTATAGCTTTTCATGCTATGGAAATTCCCGAAAGATTTTTTAAAAATCTGAAATACATGATTTAGATTCTTTTTGATTTTGCAAAGCTTTCGGAAGTACAAATTTAAGAAATCACAACAGTAAAACTTGTTTAATACACTACAGTAATATTTCTATAATGATGATGATGAAAAAAATCGTAGAAAAACAACAAAAATACACTAAATAATTAAAAAAACGTAATCCTTTCTATAATCACTATTATTGCGTTTCACCCCCTTGACATTATAGATTAGGGTTTGACTGCGTTTCAAGTATAAATTTCATTGGAATTCATTTACAGTCGTTTTTCTATAGAGGAAGGACAAGTTGATGTCGAGATTTTGAATTAAGGAAGACTTGGAGAGAAAAATATGTGTATCAGGGGCATAGACAGAGGCATGGAACGCCTTGACCTTGCCGAAAGATGTTTTTTTTTCGTAAATCGCACCTATCACACACAATCGTAAATAAACAGGGTATTAGGTTATCATCAAAGTATGTTGAATTGTAATGTACTGCTAACTTTTACCTTTATTAGAAATAGGTGAAAAAATGCTATCTCGTCGATAGCGGATTTATCTGTTTGACGTACCCTCTGAATGGCCACAATTGGTCTTCACCGAGCCGATATGCAAGGGACCCCGACGGCCCTTACAAAATACGTTGTATAATGCTCCCACTTCCTGTGGATCTCCTACCTAAAATCGACAATAGTATATTTGCATACACAAGCGAATCAATGTTTTTCTGCAGAAATTCAATCTTCTGTCGTAAATCTATCCATTTGCGACGACAGGCACGGATTTAATATTTTATCGGGCACATTTTAATAATAAAATAGTAGTAAATACAGTCGCGATGAATATACCTGGGATCGCTGGCAGTTCAGACGGAAGCAACTTCTGCAAAAAGCCTGTTCATACAAACCTTGGTTCCTGTGCCATGCGCTTCAACGAACTGGACCGTTGTGGGGTCGACTTTGGCTTCGGCATAGACTTCCCGAAGAAGAATCTCTTGCGCGTGGCCTCCCGGGAAGGTGATACCCTCATTCTTGAAGCCGTCCACGTTGGCTTTAGCATGTACTACAGTGGCATAGATTCGACGCGCGTCTGCTTTGCGTTGCAAGAAGACGCATCCCACTGTCTCCGAACGGACGTAGCCCTTGCCATCAGCGTCGAAGGCCTTGCACATCCCATCAGGGTTAAGCATGGAAAGTCTGTGGAAGTTCAACGCCGTGGACGGCTTGAGACAGATTGTGGAGCCGCCGACGATTGCCGCTTCACATTGATTCGACCGAATTGCAATGACAGCCTAACACGAGCGGTACACACAGCGGCACCGTTATTGCTATGTATAGCTATGTGATTCGGGTTGAATCGTGTAAGGCTAGGCAATAGCGGTCAAGTTGAAAACTTGGTTATGTACGTGGGACGCTTATATATTCATTAGTTTACAGGCTGTAGCTAGCCGTTCCTAAACTAGCCGCTGATTTGATAAAACAGATCCAGCCATGATCGACATCTAAAATCGCTCTAACTTCAATAAAGTTTAGAGGATAAATAGTCTAGCGAACGAGTTTAGTAGACGATTAACTACTCATTTCACAGGGGGCGATAGCTAAATTCATAGCCACGTCCAAAATAAGAGCTCCAAATGCAGATCTTTCCAATACAAGATGATTTCATCAGTAGAAAAATCCACATCTAAAGGCATGCTTTATTATGTTAAGCCTAAACTAAATCAAACAATAGCAATCTATCATCCAATCATACCTGGGTGAGCGCTGTCATGCAAGACGAACAAGCAGTATCGACTGTGATCGAGGGACCCGTAAAGTCGAGGGAATAGGAGAGACGATTGGCAAACATGGCACGGCAGCATCCGACCAACGAGTAACCGTTGACTTCGTCGGCATTCACGTTCAAAGCCTCATCGGACTCCGATTCAGATGCGCCGATATAGACGCCGATCTTTTTCCTGCGCAGGGTACTTTTAACTTTACGATCACATAGTTCAGTAGCGTCACATAGTGCAGAAGCAAAAGTACGTTGCACTATCAATGGTAAGCTACTGGCTATTGTTTCATTGCTTTGAATCAAACATTATCATGCAATAGGATTATCCGCGACAAACCGTGCAAAATCTTCCTTAGGTTCATATCTGGTCATTGGACCGTATATGATCAAAACACCTCTCCAAATATGCAAATAGTGAATTTCAATTTGTTGCGCTGGACAGACCTAAATTGTTGGACAAATACTAACGCAGCTTGTTATTTTATAGCTTCACTTTGGTGTGAAATCCGCATAGTCTGCGCATCTTTTTACATCACCTTTATCTGCAATTTCAAGAATCCATAGAAAAATCTATGTCTTGTCTACGTACCCTCTAAGTGTAGCGGGGTCATATCCAGAGTCTACAATCGACTCGTAGGCGGTCTCAAGGAACAGCCTCAATTGCGGGTCCATCGAGTGAGCCTGTTTAGGGTGTACACCGAAAAATTGCGCATCGAACCTGGAAAGGTCTTTAATCTTTCCGCCTCTTTCGGGCAGGCCAAGAATACCCCGAGGCCATCTCATTTCATCGTTAGTTACCTAGAAGGCAATTGAAGAAATTATCTTGTTAACTGTGACTTGCTAAATCTGCAGCTGACGCAGTCTACCCGTTAGGCATGGTGTCTTTCAGTTCCATGTTATTCTACTTCATCAGTTGTGTCGCAGAATACTCATTTCGTATTTAATTGTGACTTACAACGACGGAACACAACGATTTCCAGTATGCATATTTTTCATCAAGAGAACAAACCATGTCAACGCCGGCATAAAGTTTCTCTTGAAACTCCTCGAGCCCATTGGATTGCGGGAAATAGCCCGCGATTCCACTGAGAATAACATCGTCTTGATATTCCCACTGGGGCATTTGGGGTCGGTCACTTGTGCCGTTCATCATCATCGTACTTTCTTTTGAAGGCATTGTATTCTTCTGTGGACAGCAACACCCAACAATGAATATCAAAATGTTAGGAATCTATTCTAAAATAGATCCGGATAATTTTTGCAGTAGTTTCATACGAGCAAATTTAGTACTCCTAAGATATCCAAGAAGACGTATATTCATACATGAGTAGCACGCTAACGTATGTTTATAGATATCCTTCACTTACTAACATTTGGAAAAACAAATTTTTTTTGCTGTAGACCTTATATATCGCTTGCATACTAGAAACAATAAATTAAGTTTTTTGAGTTAAAAGTGTTGATTGAACTGCCTTTTTTTGTGAGAGCAGTATATTATTGTAGTTTATGCAAGAGCAACACACAATGAAATTAACCTATATTTTTCCTCTATATTTCGAACCCTTTGCTCGAAAGATTTGCTGTTATGCCGTTCTGTTTCCCGTATGAGTAGAAAGAGAAAACTATATTTAGCCGAAAGCAAACATTTGAAGAATCAAATTTTTGAGTCGTCCATGTTCTTCAATTTTGTTTAGTATCTCTAATCATCTCTCAGTTATCTCGATGAAATTCGTGAACGCCGGTCTGAATACTTGGCTTAGCAATATAGTTCTTGCGTGGAAAAACTCAACCCTTTCTTTGCATAAACTGATCTTAAACGTAGGCACCGTTGCACGAAAAGCATATATTTTAGTCGACTTCTGAAAATGCGTTTTTGACGTTGCCAGGCTACGTAGCATAACAGATTGTTGAGTATACCAAGTAAATTTAATAAATATAGCTTAAAATGATGGTTAACCTTGTTCCTTACTACACAAGTGGACGGACATTTCTATCAGATCGATAGGAATAATATGGACGTATGCCTTAACACCTTCACTTGAAAGCAACGTTTTTTCAATTTAATTCCTGTTCATCGTGCACAGTGTACTCACTGGCGTGCACCATGTAGCCGACGCAGACTTTATAGTTCTTCAAGTGGTCTCATAGATATCATAACTTACTTCATTTATAAAAGATAGTTAAATACATGCCGAATATCTGTCTATAACTATAGGGGATACAACGACTGTCCTATTATAACATTTTCGCTGCTTGCATCGACGGCTTTATCAAACGTTTTATCCCTGAAAATTTTTGAGCACTTGATCAGTCTTAAAATTTGAAAAGAATAGGTTCGGCCGTAAGTATTTCCCTAGAAAACTGGTTCTGTATCTTCGAATGTAGTACGCGCACGATCGGTACCACGTTTTGACTCACTATATGCATTAATTGATTTTCAAGGCTAAATACGTCCAAAAATCAGCAATGACAAACTAGGTCTCCCAAAGTGATGATTAAATCTACTGTAAATTTGATGTAGATGGGTTTTTCCAAAGAGCCAACTCTAACCCAGTAAATCAGCAGACAATGGCACGTAACATCTGCAGCCCATAAACCACTTCAGGATCTTTCTTTCAAGCCCTGAAACGTTCACATTTGAATAATATTATAAGCCCTTAATCTATCACATAGCTTATATCATCGGCGGTTATTAAGCGCGCATATTCTTCAATTCTCGGTCGACTATAACCTTTCTCATTCATAACTAAATAATTTATCGCTTATTAGGTTTACATTTGAACATAATTTAAACAAACGCTTACAGCCTTAATACAGGGATTCCTTACAAACAACGAGTTCCAAGAAGCACTGTTACACAACAAGCCACCAGATCATCTGAAATTTCACAAGTCACGTTCTCCAAATGGTGGCTGAACTGTAGGAGTTGGAAGCTTGACAATACTTCGTTGTTAACTTATTTTTTTTTTGATCTTCTTGTCTCTTCCTTTTTCCTTTTTGCTATATCAAACTGTTAGCACCCGACGTAGTTCTCGTTCACGCTCTCAAGGCTTTTATAGATGACCCACAGTCTGGAACTCTGGTGGACGTGTGCATCAAGAGCGCTCCCAACCCACCGTTCTCAGCACCCTCTGGCGGCATGCGCGTGCTCCAACGAAACAGGGGCAGTATAGCAAAACGTGGGCCGGCTACACAAAGGGATGAAATGCCAAGATAGACGAATTAGTGAGAGAGGGCCAACGAGAAGTGATTCTGCCTCCAGAAGCTTGTAAATGGTCATGATGATGTTCATGCGGATAGAAGCGAAGACATCGTTGGCGGACCGTTCCTCTTACTCATTAATTTTACCAAAGATATTTCTAATTTTAACTGTTCTACAATTGAACTCATTTATACTTCATTTGCTTTTATTACAATTGAACTGAGTTCAATTGTAGACCAGAAAGAACTGTAGAAAAGAAAATAATTTTATGTTTATTGTAGAGCTGAATTCGTTTAGTAAGTGTACAAATTCTACGTTAACAATGCCTGCTCTTGGTATATGAGCAATGTGGCCGACGATGGCTGATATGAGCTTTCCAATTTTCTACATTTCCGAGTTTCCAATTTTCGCGTAAATTATTTCGAACATGTAATGTTGTTCGTACACTTACGTATTCAGTAGCCTGCTCACATTATCCCGGAATTTATGTATCCCTGGAAGACTGTCGTATAAGCATCAATACGCTAGTAAGCTAGATTCCTCATCCTTACTGTTTCGCCGATAATGTTGTTTTAAAGTTTGTAATGTTCATAGGAAGCAAACGCATTGTTTATGTCTGGGACTCACGACTGGAGTGCCTTTCTCGGTTGTATTAGAGTTTCACACACTAAAACCCAGACTTCCCTGGGCAGCCCTTCTGAAAGAGACAAGAAAAAGAAGACCCGGTAACCATGTCTTACACTACAGTCTTGTGATTTCCTCAATAAACTCGATGAATACCTGGCGCAGTTTAGTCAACAACTAAAAAAAGCTCTCGAAGAACGGAGTCATTCGACATTTGGCAAAAAAAATTTGTCTTGCTACAAAAACTAAAGCTGTCAGTGTCCGGCAAATGGGCTAGTTATTTACAAGTCGATGTAACCCATGCAGGTGGCTTAGCCACAAAACCTCTGTGTTTCGAGTTTCACATCCAAGTTTGGCTATGCCCGAATTCGAACCTACAATACAACGTATCCCTAAGATTGATAGGTAAATACGTTACTTACTAATCTATTACGGGAACGAGAAACAAGGCTTGGGGACTTAAAAGCTGTCTGACAACCAAGCCGCGAACATAAATGTCACCATCAAAACGCCATAAAGGGAAGGCCGGTTGGGGGTGCGACCATCGCAAGAGGCAGATTCCCTAGGCCAAGTGTTAATAACGACGTCGACTGGTTGTCCAGGGAGTTACCTGCGCCGAAGAAAGCCCAGTCGCGAAAATCTCATGTCAAAAGAAGGCGATCTTACCGATCGGGGAGACCAGACGTGCACTGTAGAAAGTCATTAGACCCGGCTCACAGAACCTTTACGAAGTTAACGCACTTAAAACGTAATACGTACGCAGTGCAAGAGTATTAGGACCTTGTAGGACTATGATGATGGCGACGTGCAGGCCACTAGCATGATGCCTGGTTGGGAGGCGTTGAGGGGCATGGGATGATATACGGATTGGCCAATGCAAACGACGCAGTCGCATAGCGGACATAAGAATGCTGTGTAGACGCGGCATGGCTAATAGCAGTGTCCGAATATTACAGTCAAAAACGTGGATATAACTAAATTGCTAGCCGGTGTTTTGCCAGTCTTCAATGAGTGGCCTTAAGCTTATAAAAAAAAATTCGTTTACTTTTGGTCTAGTTCCCATATTTTCAAATAATTGCAAACAACAGTCTACAAGTCCATGAACCGCAACCCATTAAGTGGAAGTTTATGAACAATCCACTGCTAAAAACCATAATGTTCCCTTAAGTTAACACATAGCATAAAGCATGCGTCGCCAATGCCCCATTAGGTTGTTCTCTAGCGTAATACGCCACTTGCGCGAAGTTGATACGCAGTGATTGACCACCATTGACGGCCAATGTGGCAACAGAACGACACGAATTGACCGCACACTTTTACGTTCGAAATTTCGTTGTGATGCAGTAATGCAAACACCATTTCACACAGGTTAAAATGCGGAAGCTGGTTTTATGTGTAGGACGTTGGGTTTTCTAGCTTTGCCTGACACCTTAACTAAACTTTAATGTTGACATAGCGACCAATTAATTGTCATCTCCCTCGTTGGTGTACATGGCTTCGTAGCAATTTATCTCTTGTCAGTGCATGAAAGAGGCTACTCAGTGTATAAATCGTAACGAGACCATCACAAATCAGCGTCTTTCTAGCCCATCGTACTGCTAAATGTAACATAATTAAAACCACGTGCTTCATCAGCAAAGCTCGCGTACAAACAGATAAGTAACCCAATTGCAGAACGAGAAGTGCATGTTCGAACATTCATTCAGGGCCTCTGGTTAGGTTTGCGTATTCACCCTGCGTTCACCACTACTAAATTGAATAGTGCTTACTTTTGAATAAATTCGGGCTTGTTAAGTCGTAAGGAGAATATGAAGAATAACAAAAGGATTTTCCGTAATAACAATCTCCTTGTATTCCATGTTCAGTGTTCTCAACACTACCTAAACAATTGTCCTTCAAGCTGCCTGAACAATTACAGATGTCATCCAGTTTTAGAATAGAATTATCTAGCTAAGTTTAACTGATTACTCATTACTAAGCTATATTGTAAACTTCCTGCTACGCCGAAGAGCGCATGGTATAACGTGATTAAGCTGTGGACACCTGTGCGAAAAAACTATTTTAGGAAAAATGCAACCGTGATCCAGCTAGTACTAGGTAAAATTTCCTTTCGCATTTAACCATAGTACGTTATGGGGATACCTTATTGTAACTGCTAGTTCCGTTAGTTATTGTAACTGCTAGTTAGTTCCGGCACGAATGACAATTGATTTCGTGGTTAGCGTACAGCGGGCGACACAGTACGGTGCAGGAATGGCGTGCCCGTGTTCCGCTTCGACATCCACGAGGCATCGATGGTAAGCTGTTTACTCGGGCCTGGCTTCAAGCTCTAGCGCACACACATGGGCTTTCAAGAATCGGGCGATTCACGTGATGGGAGCAGCCGACGGAATCAACTTCGATTACCAAAAAACTCAACCTTGCCCTCTCTATAGCAGCATGAAAGCTCAAGCCCTTCTGACAAAAGGAGGTAGCAAGCGCAAAAGTAGAAGTTCCTTCTGGCTTCGTACCTTCATTTGAGTGGTTTCGATTTTTGCTATTGCCGTCACCTAAAAGCAGTAACGATAAACGTATGGCCTGCAGCAGCGCCAGCAACAGCGATAATGCATAAAGCGCAAGTGGTCATTATTCTGCTGCGCAAATGTGCCTGCGCTCTACAAGTATGTTTAATGTATACGCGTACGCAGGCTATCATCGTACGTGAACCGTAATCTATCCTACATCCTAACTTGTTCCCCGGGGAAAAACGGCGGCTGGAGTCGCTTTCTGCTATGAGAAGGAAAACATTGCGCGTTAGATCAGCTTGACACGATAGGAAAACATCTCAGACGCTCGGAATGACAAGCATATAATAACCATGGGGCCGCTACACCGTGACCGGTGCAAAGAATATGACGAATCTAACTTCGATGGAAACGGGTATTTTGTTTCTTCACTTGAGCCCGTGCAACGGTGACATGTGGGGATCTGGCAGAAGTGGCGCTAGTAAAAATATTGCTTGAGAGAGGGTATTGCTCCCTCAGTCGCTGATTACGGTGACTAGTTGCCTTGCTTATGCATAGGATGATGGCTCTTCCAACTACCGACAATTACGCTGCTGTTACTTCGAGTTGACTTCTACGTTTTTTCAGTAGCATACCGAGTTAATGCAAATCTTCCAGTATCTATTCATAACTGTATCTATAGTGGATGTTTTAAAGTTGTAATTGTTCGTAATGGTAGGCAGATACTTTACTTGTTACGGTAATACTTATACTAAAAAAAAGTACTAACAGTTAGTTCGGAATCCAGTCGGAAGTATTCGCATCGCCCTGTAATGCATGTATCAATTATTTCCACACAAACCAATAAGCAGAAAGTATAAATGGTTTCTTCACTGTTGTACTCTGGAAACACGACCAGAGCATATTTGTTTTTTTTTTTTCCAATAAACAGTGACTTAAGGTGCGGCCGTTCACACGAATTGTTCTATTTTTATTTCTATTACCATGCGTATGATCTGTGAACCCGAATCTAACTGTTAGCTATACAAGGGCTACTAAAACGGCTCGATCCATCTTCATTATCTAGACTTCAGTTGTATTACCAGCAAGCAAATGCATATAGGATCTTGTAAATCTCTTGGTATATATGTTGACCTGATTATTGTTTAACTTTATTATTAACTTCGATTTTTATTCGAAGCAGCCTCGGTTATCCACGGACCTTCTAAAATTATTCTATGTTATCTGAATTAAAGCTTGCTTTCATTCTAGATATCGTTTTCATTAGCTAATTTTTAATAATAATTATAATAAAGATAGTGGAAATGTAATTATCAAGTAATAAGATCAGACTACCAATGTATATAGTTCCGCTGAGGTATAAACTTGCCTACAGCGATGCCCCTGAGTACCCTGCACATGATGCAACGGCGACCAATATGTTGCTTGTCTTTGGACAAGTATCTTTATAGAATTTTCGGGTCAAACGAACTACTGCATGCTTACACAAGCGTACAGGAGACCTACCTTTTCGTAGTTGCATCCCCTGTGTTACCTATTAAGGCAGCTATATCTACCTGGATAGCGCATATGCAAATTAACCGCCCTTGACCTAATCGCGACACGACTAACCGACTAGGCGTCAAATAAGCGCTGAGGGGCAGTTTTAGGCAAGAAACATCTTTCCCTCCATTTGCAGATTTTCTTCGACT